GTCTTTGGTCTCCTTGGAGGTGTCTTTGGTCACCTCAGAGGTGTCTTTGGTCTCCTTGGAGCATCTTCAGTGACATCTTTCCATCTAAAGTTGCATTTTCATGGGAATTTTGGAAATTTGAGGAGAAAAATGGCCGTTTTCACCACAGTTCTGGAGAAACCTCCTCAGAAACCTCCTCAGATGCCACCACCAACAATTAGGTGCTTAAAATTAAGGGGGAAAAACCTCCAATTTCTCAAGTAGGACTTGAAAAACTTGAATTCTGGTGGGAACTCACCCGAGATGAAGATGGTGGAGTCCTTCTCCTGAGGAAGCCGCGTGCTCCTGATGGAACAGGACACCTTTTGGTTCATGTTCCTCAAGATGATGATGGATTTCTCCACTTCAAAGAAGCCATTTTGGTCTTGGGAGTGGAATTCGGTGAAAGATGGAACCTGTTGACCTTGGAAATCTCTCCAAAACATCTCAGGTTTTGGGTACCAACCGGTTGCTCGACATCCCACCCGGATTCCACCATCTTGGAAATCCTCCACGGAGAAGACGGGGCTGGAACCTGAAACTGGGACAACAACAACAAAACCCCCACCCCAAAAACCCCCTCAAAAACCATGAGCCAAACTGGTCCTGGAGACCTTCTCAAAGCTTCTGGTGAAGGACTCTGGTGAGGTTCTGGTGAAGGACTCGTGGAAACCATCTGAGCTCAGTTTTGGGGACAACCTGAGGTTGATTTATTCACCCTCAACGATCTCCTCAGAGTCAACCATGGAATCACCCAACCCCTTCCACCAGCCTAAAGAGAGGTGGAAGAGGCATGAGATGAAGCCACCTCCACCCAGAAGGACCTTCACCCCCTCTCTGCAGACCACCCAAGGTGAGACCTGATGGTTTTAGGGGGGAAAGTGTTGACTTTGGGACATGGGGAGATGTTTGGTCAACTGCAAGGTCAATGTTCTCCAGCTGGGGAAACACGTGGTGCCCATGTGTGTGTGTGTGTGTCTGGGGACAACGTGGAGACCACGTACTCAAGAGGAGAAGGTGCACAAGGATGTCTCTTTGGGTTCAGCTGTGTCACCTCCTGCTCCTTCCCTGTCACCTCCTTTGAAGCCAACCAGAGATGACTCTGTGGTCCAAGGTGGTTGACTTGGGACACCCAGGAGATCCTTCCCTGTCACCTCCTTTGAAGCCAACCAGAGATGACTCTGTGGTCCAAGGTGGTTGACTTGGGACACCCAGGAGATCCTTCCCTGTCACCTCCTTTGAAGCCAACCAGAGATGACTCTGTGGTCCAAGGTGGTTGGCTTTGGACAACCAGGAGATCCTTCCCTGTCACCTCCTTTGAAGCCAACCAGAGATGACTCTGTGGTCCAAGGTGGTTGACTTGGGACAACCAGGAGATCCTTCCCTGTCACCTCGTTTGAAGCCAACCAGAGATGACTCTGTGGTCCAAGGTGGTTGACCTGGGACACCCAGGAGATCCTTCCCCATCACCTCGTTTGAAGCCAACCAGAGATGACTCTGTGGTTGACCTGGGCCAACCAGGACATTTCTCTTGGGTTGGGGGAGGGTGTTGCTCTATCTAGGAGGTCTCAGGGATTTGGTGATGGGACAACCCATGTTCTACAAGAACCTGAGGTTCAGGAGATGCTTGTGAGGAGCTGGGCTACCAAATAGAGGAGAAACCCAAAGGGGTTTGAGTTGTGGTGGGTCAACGGGACGTGGTCAAGGGTCCACCTTGTAGACAACCCTGACCTCAGGTTTTTTTACCTGCGACCTTCAGCTCCAACGTGGCTTCTTCATAAAAACTCCCATCTTTGACCAGACATTGGTACTGTCCTTCATCACTCAACCTGGTCCTGAGGAGCCTCAAGGAAACGTTCCCCATGGAGATGCCCTCCTTCAAAAACTCTGTCCTCTCCTGGTACTCGGGCATCTGGGAGGAGAAGTGATCCCGACCGCTGTGGTAGAGGTGGACGTAGATGGAGAACCTGGATCGAAACCATCTCACCTCCATGTTCTGGGCATCCAACCCGGGGGAGAGGTGACAAGGCAACACCACATCTTCTCCTACCACGGCTGTGATGGGTTGGTTGGATCCCAGGACTCTGAACTGGGCTGTGGAAGGTGGTGGGTGAGAAGAAGACAGACCTGAGACACGGGAGGGCGAGCGGTTCCGCTGCTACGTCATCATCATCATCATCACGATGACTTAATCATCAACCAAGCGTGGGAAGACCCCACCATGGTGGGTGCAAAGACCCCGGCCTACAGCTGCTGGGTCTGGAAAGTACCCCAAGAAGATGAGGTTGAGGGTGTTGGGGTGGAAACCTTCTTGTGGGGTGAAGAAGCCACCTGG